AGAGTTAAAAATATATTGCAGTGATCCATGCATATTTGTGTTTATAGCAGCAAAATCCATAATTGCTACATCTTGGAAGCAGCCTATATATGTCCATTAACAGGTGAATGAATGAATAAAATACGGTATTTACACAGAATGGAGTACTTCTCTGGCATAGGAAGGATAAGTCTGAGTCATTTGTAGGAAAATACAGGCACCTCGAGACCAAAATGCTAGGCAAAGTAAATCAGATACACAAGCTTAAAGGTGCATGGTTTCTTTGATATGAGAAAGCCAATGTATTATAAAAATGCAAAATAAAAAAACAGATAATAGAAAAAAAAGAGAAAAGGGGTTTTGTAATCGAGCATCACAAATGTATCTAAAAATATACCTTGATGTGATACAGTTGTTTTATGTGTTTATATTTTGTTCTGTTGGTCTGGCTGCTAATCTGAATTTATGATAATTGTTAAAAACTTTAAAATAAATTAATAAACACATCTGATGCTGGCAAAAATAAAAGTAACACAACGTGAAAAATAAAAATAAAACATGGCATTCTGGACCTCAGGACTTCTGGAATTGGCCAGGAATTCTGCATTCTATCTATCTATCTATCTATCTATCTATCTATCTATCTATCTATCTAGTCTTTTTGAGACAGAGTCTCGCTATGTAGCTTAGGCTGGCCTTGAACTCACTTTGTAGCCCAGGCTGGTCTCGAGCTCCAAGTATCCTTCTATTCAGCCTCTTGAGTGCTGGGATTACAGACGTGTGCCACCCTGTCCAGCAGAATTCTGCATTTTAGTAGCGCTCCCCCAAAATAACTGGGGGCTAGGCACTGTCCTCAATACCACTTTAAAAATATTATAGCAAAAGGAATTTTTTTTTTTCACTTATTGGCTTGTTTGTTCATTCAGAACAGTACTAAGCCCTCTCCTACTTTCTGGAGAGGAAGATGAGAAGGCCCTGCCCTGAGGGAGGCACTGGACATTAGGGGACCTGGGTTCCTGTGCCAGGTGACTGATGTCCACTCATGGCTGCCTGCCACATGTGCCCCCTGCCCCTTAGCTCCTGGTCACAGTGCTGTTCAGCTCTACCCTGTGGTGGCCAGGCATTGCTGGTCCCTGGGAACCTTGTGCAGGAGGAGGTGGAGGAGGCCAAGGCATGGAGAATGCCTCCAGGGTCCTCCAGACTCGGTGTGACCTGCTGGGCAGTGTGTGCCTAGGCTTGGACGCAGGGACACAGATCCAAGGTGGTAGATGAGCTGAGCGGCTGGGCCGTGGCCACTTTTGGTCAGCTCCTCTCCTGGCAGCAGCACCTAGTACAGCCTGGCTCCTTCTACCTTACACCAGCCCTGCCTGCCCTGCCCTGCCCTGCCCTGCCCTGCCCTGCCCTGTCCTGCCTGCCCTGCCCTTCTTGTCCTGCCTGCCCTGTCCTGCCCTGCCTGCCCTGTCCTGCCTGCCCTGTCCTGCCTGCCATGTCTTGCCTGCCCTGCTCTGCCATGCCTGCCCTGTCCTGCCTGCCCTGTCCTGCCTGCCATGTCTTGCCTGCCCTGCTCTGCCATGCCTGCCCTGTCCTGCCTGCCCTGCACTGCCCTTCTTGTCCTGCCTGCCCTGTCCTGCCCTGCCGACCCTGCATGCCCTGCCCAGTTGTCTCTCCAGGCCTGCACCTGCCTCTTCCTGTGCCATTCTACCCTCCTGCAGCATGGCTGACAGCCCCTTCCAGCGAGCCTGTCACCTCATCTGAACACCTGACCCTGCAGATCAAACACCAAGGAGTAGTCAGCCACCACCAGCTGCCACTTAGACAGGAAAAGGAGCCCCAGAAAGTTCCTGTGACAGTTGGGGCAGGTGTTCGCATGTGAGGGCATGTACACACATTCTGAGTGTGTGTGTGTGTGTGTGTGTGTGTACAGGGAGGTGTGGAAAAACTCCATACCCACAGGAACAATGGCCAGGTCAGGTAGAACAACCAGGACTGGGGCCCAGGATCTGTAGCAGGCAGCCTGGAGAACCAGCCTGGAAGTCGGCTGCTGCACAAGTAAACCAGCCGGCAGGAAGTCAGGTCTCCACCTGATAGCTTTCCTGATTTCCATCCCACTTCCAATTTGGGAGAAGCCAAATATGGGAATGTGAGGCACTCGTGAACACTGCCACCAACAACCAGAGCTTGTTACTAGTTCCCCACACCCACAACCAATGCAGGGCACATGCAAAGTGTTCCCCACCTGCCCTTGGGTCTCTGCCAGAACAAATGCAAATGCAGCCAACACCCTGATTTATCGAGCTCTGAATTAAATAGCCATGTTCATTCCCATCTGCTTTTCTTCCCCCAGTGTGCACAAAGGCACGTGGGGGAGGAGGCAGGTGCACCTGCATATGTGTGTGTGTGTGTGTGTGTGTGTGTGTGTGTGTGTGTGTGTGTCTGTCTGTCTGTCTGTCTCTGAGCATGTGTGCTGATCACAGAGGGGGTGGGCATGGCAAGGTTGGGATGGGAAAGCGCATAGTGGGAAGGGACTTCTGTGCCAGGTGAAGTGGCACAGACTGTAATCCTAGCTGTTTGAGACATTCAGGAGGACTGCAGTTAGGCTGTCTGGAGCATCTTTGCAAGGCCTTGTCTCAAAATGAAAAAGGCTACAGATGTAGGTCAGCAGTAGAGCACGCGCCCAGCATGCACGAGGCCCGGGTTCAGTCCCTGTTAATGCAGAAGAAAAAGAGACGGCCTCTGGCTGTGTTCCCATAGGCTCTCCCCTTGGACAGCCCACGGAGTGGGTCGGGGCAAGAGGAGGAATTGCTGGGAGTCCACAGGGCATGAGGAGGCACGGGGCGTCTCTAGGCGCCAGGCTCCTTTCCCAGTGTGGAGAGCCACCTGTGGCCACCAAAGTGACCTTGTGCAGTGCTACCATTCCCTTGGAGGCTCCTGGCATCTAAGGACTAGCACTAAGGCCTGGACTCCCTGCCCTGAGTGTACTGAGGTTTAATCTGCACCCAGGTAGCCACTTGCCAGAATTGGTTGGCAAAACTAGAGCCAACAGAGTTAAATTGCCCTTTGCGTCCCACATGGTCTCCCTGTGATTTTAACCACAGCGCATGGATCACCAGGTTGGCACCATTTTCTGATCAATGATGGTAATTTTCTTCCCCTTCACATAAAGTTTATCATTGTAAGGGTCTTTTAAAAAGACCCTTAAATACCAGGGTCAAAAGAAAATTACACGCTTGTGTGAGGTTTCTTCACAGCCTCCCTCGGTGCATCTAGTGCACCACTCTGATTTACTGTCAGGCTGCTCAAGAGCAATGCAGAGCCCACTTGTTAGTACTTTGGGGAGCTGTTTGGCCATGCCCTGGGGCTCAGCAGAGGGCTGTGCAAGAAGACAGTCTGTGGTCCAGCCTGACACAGGACTGTGATGCACCGACCCTTGCTGGCCTCCAGCCAGGGAGCCAGCTATGCCTTTAACAGCAAGAATGGAACAGATGAAGAAAACTGCCAACCCAGGCCTTCTTTCTCACACTTGTGTGGTACAGCTGGCCAAACACTCTGCTCCCCACTGCAGTAACTGCCACCCTACTCAGCCCTAGAGGGCTTTGGGGCCGGTGGCCTGTTCACACACCTGGAAGAGCAGGAATAGATAGCTCTTTCTCTGTTGCTTTTCAATCAGCCACCCAGTTTCGAAGACACCCGTTTTCTTCTGCTGTTCTGTATGGTCCCCCAACTGCACAAATGCATCCTTTATCAAGGGTGCATTTAACTGCCAGTTTGAAGTATTCAAATACACACTGGAAATCTATGAGTAAATGATCATTACGTGAATCACCAACCTATTTCTCATAGATAAGGACTGAGATAAATGTGACTAATGATACTGAGAAGCAGCAAGCAGCAAAGAAGGACACAGCTGTGTGTGTGTGGAGGATCTGCAGCCACAAAGCAGATCACTGCGATGGCAAAGGGGGTGACTCTGGCTGCATCTAGGAGAAGGGCTGGCACATACAGGCTTCCCTCTGTCCCTCTGTCTGTCTATCCTGTGCAAATGTGAATCCAATTAGGAAACTGCATGAAGCAGTGCTTGGGCCTTGAACCTGGGCCCAGGGACACAATTCCAGCAGCCACACACACCAGATGCACATTCTGTCCCTCCGCAGCATGGCCTCAGTTGACACCTCCTAAGTGCTCCCTTTCCCTGGGCAGGATTTTCCCCTGAATTCTACTTCCCTCCAGCCCTATTTTGCCCTTTAACAACCTCTGAGAAATTTTCTGTCACACAAGAAAGAAGACAGATGACATGAGGACAGCCCCTGCCTAGCCTGCCTGCATCTTTTGTTTTGGAAATGCATTCAGGGAGAGGCCATCCTTTTGGGGACAGAGAGCTCCACCTTGGGACCACAGTGTGTAAGGAGGGTTGTCCTTGACCTCCAGATGAGCCTGGTGGGGTCCAACTGGGGCCAAGTAGGGGAATGGACTGCTGCAGAAAAGTGCCTAGTGGTTTTTCTGAGGCCCCAGCTGTCCCTGCTGCGTGGGCTTGGGCTATCCTGCAGCACGGCAGCCACTGGTCCTGGGAATTGTTCAAAGTTCAGTTTTTAAAAATGAACTGACAACTCGGTTTTCCTTGGATTCCTCAGAGTTCAGAAGCTAGCGAGCTGATAGATACTGCTTTGGACAGCGCCCTCGGAGCTGTTCTGTCAGCCCCAGCAGACTTCAGACAGCGCAGCCCCAGGCTCCCCGCAGCTCTGAGACTCCGCTGGTGTGTGTGAACCCGCGAAGCCAGGGTGCCTGCGGTCCTAGACCTCGAGTGACATGCGAGGGGCAGACCTGTTGGCCGGGGCCACTTGGACAGGGCCAGGCTGAGTCTCCACGGAGCTGGGGAGGTTTCGCTAGCTGAACCAGAGCTGGGCGAGCAGCTTCTCTTTTGCAATCCGTGCTGGTCTGACAGGCTCCTGCAGTTACATCACTTCCTAAAAAACAGGCAAACACCTCTCCTTCAAGTGAGCACCGACCCAAACAAGCAGGAAACAGGAAATGTGCTCCGCGGCAGCAGCGGCCAGAGGGAGCCCCGCGCAGCACCCCGCGAGCTGACATGAGCGCCCCGCGCGCCGCCTGCCTCGGGGTCCTGGGCCTCGCGCTGGGCCTGGCCACCCACCAGGGTAAGCGACCTCCTGCTGGCGGGTGCCGCGGTTACGGGGCTCGCAGGGGAGGGCACCCCCCAAGACCCCAGTCCTTTCTCTACAAGGGGAGAAAATGAAAACTGCCTCTTGCTGGGATGGAGGGAGGACTTGGCTATCACTGCACTGGGTCCTAGTCCTTGATTTAAACCTCGCGCCATCATTGTCTTCTGAGATGTGTGGATCCCTGTAATTTCCCAACTTTAATGGGCACATTAAGAAAACCATAAACTTTTTGGCAGTACGTGGAAAAGAATGTTTCAATCGGTCAGGATCAGAGATAATAGGTTTTGCTCTTAACAGTGCACTGAGAGGGCCCCTTGTTCCAAATACTCTTGGAAAGCAGGGTTACAGAAATCTGCTACTGGAATGCATTTTAAAGAAAATTCATGAGTTTAAAAAAATGTAAACAGGAAATTGACTGAGGAGTTGCCCGGCATCCACTCTCTAACACATGGAGAAAGTCTGGTCCTCTGCTTGCCCTTGATCTTGGTACATTGAGGGCTATTTTTTACTTATTTATTTTGCACTGGTTGTTACTGTTTGAAAGTTTATTTACAAAAGTAATGAGTGTAACCAATTAAAGGTGGTGGAAAAGACAAAACAGTAAATTGCAGTCTTTTAGGTTAAAGCACAATTGATTTGTTCTTCTCACAGTTACCGTAACATGCAAAATACCCTTGGTTGCTGCTGGGGGTTTTGCTGATTTGCTCTGGGTCAATGAACATGCTGCCTTGGTTTCTACCAATGGATTCTGCACACAGCTAGTGTAGGTGGACAATGTGGAAGCAGAGGGAAGCTCCTCAAGTGCCAGTTCTTTAAATAAGATGGGGGACTCAGGCACTGACATCCTGATGTGGTGCCTTCGGGGACCTTAGCAGTCAGGCCCGCCCTCCCCAGTCCAGCACCTGGCTGCTTCTTCCTGGTGCTGTCTGCATAGGGTTCCCGGGTATCTGCAGGGGAAACTGCAAGGAGAGGGACGGCAAGCCGCTCCTTCTGGATGCAGCTTGGCGGGAGCGGGGAGCGGTGGCCAGGAGTCCGGCAGGCACTGTACACTCTTGTGTACACAGTTTCAGAGCTGGAAGGAGCTGCAAGGGGCGGTGGTTGCATTCGGGGAAATTTTCATTAGTTCATCTCTGATTTCTTCAAACCCTTTCTGCAGAAGTCAATAACTCAATGATAGTTGATAAATACTAAAATCATCCACAGAGTGGATACAAAGCTTATCACTAAAAACTGCCTTGTTCCTAAAAACAGATAGTGTTAGAATGTCAGGAAAAGTCAGAGGAAGCTGTGCTTCTTCCAGTGTGCTTACTGGGCCCTGCCCGGATTGCCAATGTGTGGAAAAAGTGAAAAGCTGTTCAGTAATCATTTTTTACCATGACATTAGTCAAGGATTGAGGCCTAATGTGTCATTAATTAGTGTGTGTGTGTGTGTGTGTGTGTGTGTGTGTGTGTGTCTTTTTAAATTAATGGTGCCTAAGACTTCAGGTTAGTTTATAGGTGTCACATTTGTGTTTCCTTGAATTCTTAGAATAATATCTGGGGGATGTTTGGTAAAAGAAGCCATTGAACAGCCTGCCTGTCTTGCGAGCTAGTTTGTGACACAGCCCAGTGTAAGCATCCACCAACAGCAGACAGGCAGCACCGCGTGACAGCAGCCTCGCTTCCTCTGAGTCAGCACTTCTTTCTGGATAGACGCTCTCTACAGCCTGACTGAGGAGGGAGTGAAATGAGCTGCTTGCAAGTCACCAGTAAACAGCTTTTCTAGGATTTTGACCAACAGATATTCATCATTTTGCTCTGGCTAGTGTGGGATCCTCTGAGAATTCAGAGTCAAGGCCACGCTCTGCAGGGCCATGAAGCAATTTTTACCTTGTTCCCGGTTCAGTGGGCTCCACCTTAGTAGGAGACTGAAGGTGACACCCCCCCCCCCGTACCAGAGCGTGGGGTTTATCAGCTGCCATCGCAGCAAGGTTGGCAGAGGAAGCACTGAAGGGGATGAGGCAGAAACAAGGAGTCTAGAACTACGTGGTGGCCGGGGACAAAGATGCCTGGGAGGAGCTTCAGAAGTGTAAGATGCAGATCATTCTGGGGCAAACTGAGAAGCAGAGACCAGAAGGAACTGTTAGTTGCATAATCGAAGTTGTGCGTTCTGATGCTGTATCTCTGATCTTGGTGCACAGGAAGGCCTCTTCTGTTTCCTGGACAGCTCAGCTTCAAGTGCTAGTGATGATGCTCGTAGCCAACATGCACGGCGCTCAGCCTCCGGCACAGTGTCTCGAGGCACTGCCCTAACGTAATGAACTCTCAGGGGTGTTGTAAGGTGGATACTACTATCCTAGCTTCCCCTATGAGAAAAGCAAGGCACACAGAGGCGAAGCGACTTGCCAAGGTCTCACAGCTAAGGCATGGCTCCAAGAAGAGTCGTCTAGAGCCCCCGCTCCGCCTGTGCACCCTACCCGTCAGGGTGCCAGGCTCTGCCAGGCTCTGTCTACTTTCAGGGTCAGGAGACTGTAACTTGGGCCCTTGCCCTGCTGCAGGTTCTCAACATCACAATGCCCTTGGCTGGGTCTCAGCAGCCACTGCGTGCTAGTAACTATGTTTGCTGTGCTGTGCTGAATTCTGGCTCACAGGAAGAGGAATGATGAGTGCAGGGTTGAACCTGGAGTGGAGGCAGAGGGCAGGAGCAGGAATGGGTGCAGACTGAGCAATTGGAAAGGCTAGAACTAGCAGAATGAAGACCGGAGGCAGGAAATACACCCTGCTAGAGCAGCTAGGAAAAGGTGCAGGATGCAGGAACCAGGCAGAGGACAGCAATGAGGTCACAGGGTCACCATGGAGAGCCCTGTCTGAGGGCCTGTACCCTAGAGACTAGGAAACTACAGAAAGCCCACTGAAATATCAGCCATGCTAAAATAAAAGCAGAACAGGCAGTGGTGTGGGGGTGTCCTTCTGTATTGTTCTGCATCTGTAATTCTGAACCCAGGAGAGCCGAAGAGGGAAGATGTGGGCTGGGCTGAGCTCAGTTCTGTAAAGAAACAATGCAGCCTGGAATTTGCCTACCTGGGCAACGTTGGCGCCACCCTCCAATGCTGGCAGAGATGTGGAGAAACAGGAACCTCGTACAGTGCCTGCTCACTGGGCTTTCCATCTTAGTGATCCTGTTTTGCATTTCTAGAAAGTCCATCCTTTGCAAACACACATCATGTTGTGGGGCATTTTTAAAAACTTGGTTGTTTATTCCTTCTTTTATGTCTTTATTTTAAGGCTATTGTCAGCGATGTGATAGCTTTCACTATCACCTTTTCCTAGCTGCTCCAGCAGGGTGTAGGCCTCATCTTGCTGCTTGTTGAATCTGTTGATTTCTATTCATAAGAAGAGTCAGGTAGGGGACAGGCTGAGGCAGCCCCTGGCTGCAGGAAGTCTCACCCTGGTTAAGGTAACCCCAAGTCTTCTAACTCTATCACCACACCATTGTCAAGTGCTCTAATCCCCAATACTTTTTCAGGATGATGTCCATTATGCCACCATGAAGTAGGATGTCATGGGGACAGGAGGTGGTGAGGTTGAAGAGAGGTCGTGGCTGTACGTGGGGCTCAACCCCAGGTGTAGGACAGGAGGGAAGGGCGGCATCCGTCAGCCTCAAAGAGTTGCAAGCAGAAGGACCAAGACTCAGCATAGGTCTAAGCCCACAGGACCCACAGCTGTCAGTGGAGGAGGAACTGGAGTATGGGGATCTCCAAGAGGAGGAAGATCCTAGTGGATGAGGCGGAACTGAAGGTCACAGGAGGCCTGGGGCTGCGCTGAGGGCGATTGCCCAGCATGCCTGGTTCCATCCCCAGGTCACAGAAAGATAAAGAAAAAATAGAAGGAAAAGAAAATCAGAGGCTGGGGCTGCCCAGATAGCTCAGCGGATTAAAGCACCCTGCTTAGGCAGACCCTGAGGCTGGGGGCTCCCTGGCATACCACGCCGGCCCCACCCCTGGGGCACACTGGGACTCCTGTGGCTGCTCTCCCAGGTCTCTGTAAGTGTCAGGATGATTTCCCCTGGCTTTGAACTTGACCATTGTGAGATTTATTTTATCTTATTTTATTTCATTTTATTTTATCCTGGGTCAGTTTGAGCTTTAACTTTTGACCCATGGTATAGATACGAGCCTCTTAAAAACATTCGGTAGACTCTTACTTACCTGGGGCCCAAATCTTTTTTTTTTTTCTATAATTTTATTGAGAAATAAATAGCAATGAGACAGTTTCAAACAAAATTGGTAGGACAGTTTTGATAATTAACACATTGCATACATTCTTCCTAGTGGTTAATTGCTGTACAAGATGCGGACATGATATCCTATTTACAAACAC